AAAGAGTTAAAATTAAAGAACCCCTTGATTTTCCCTTTCTTAAACCCCCCGGTTTTTTCAAAAAAGAAAAAAAAAAAAAAAAAAAAAAAAAAAAAAAAAAAACCAGATACCGATTTTCAACAGAAGCACAGGAAAATAAACATTCAGAATGGAGTAAAACAAAAACATGTATTTGAGCAGAAGTGTGAAGAAAAAAAAAGAAAAAAAAACTAAAGGGAAAATTAGTCTTGACACGGTCCAGGGAGGACGGGGATCAGGTTTCCGTTCTGCCTTTAGTTCCTGGTAACACATCCCAGAAGTCAGAGGAAAACCTCCATAATATAGACGGAATGGTAACAATATAAAGAAAAACTTCACTTTTTTTTTTCCCCCAATCAGGAGGCAAAATCAAATCTGAAACAGGGAGAGAGTTTGGATCTTCTGCCCAGGAGTTTGACAGTCGCTCAGTCCCATCTTGGTGTGGCAGCTTAGGCGTGCACCGGCGTCCACTGTCCTCACTTGGGTCTAGTGGTTTCATACAAAAAAAAAAAACAACAAAAAAACAGAGTGCGTAACACATTGCCCCACAGGCAGTTTGCTGGTAGGTCCAGATGGCTGAAGTCAAGCTTATGTTTGGATGGGTTGACTCGGTCGGATCCTTGGTTTTTACACTGGTTTCGTGATCCTCGTCAGCTCCGGCGGCGGTCCTACTACGGCTCAGTCATGTGCTCTCGCATGGGGTCGCCGTGTTTGGAGGGCTGATGCGGAGAGGCAGCCTGTGACGGATGGGTGCCCGGGGGGAGCGTGTGGGCGATGGGCAGGCCCCCAGGCACCAATCCCTCCATAGGTCCGATTATCCCGCCGGGTGCGACGCCCATCACTCCGGGAGGGAATCTGAAAGTGAACGCACAGAGTGAACAAACATGGAGACGTACACGCTGGAACTTATGTGGCGACGAGAGAATAACATAAAATGTTCCCAGTAAATGGCCGTTTCAATTTAGAGATGGATTTGAAAGGTCATTATGTTGAGATTTTGAAATTTTGAGCTTTAACTGATTATTTCTAAAGCGCACACACACAAAAAAAAAACAACCTTAAACTCTATTTGATTAACACAGCAAGAATACAATTAAGTCACAGGCTTGTTTACCTTATTTCAAAAAATTTTTCACATTTTCTGACATTTTTATCACATCAGGAAACGACACCTGGTCTGACAAAAAACGTCACGTATAAAAAAAGAGGCACGTCAAGGCGATCAGAGTCTTAAAAACATTGACGTTTTCAAGGCGATGTGTAAAAAGGGTGAAAAACAAATGTCAAAATGTATTTTTGTCATTTCGGGTTGTATCAATTTCACCACAAAATCCATACATTTGTTCATCTTTCTGAACTTTGTCCACATTTGTCACAACTAAAAACTTGACGTAGTAGCACATATTTGTGAAGTGGAGAAAAATTAGAGTTAAAGCCCCCTTTAACTCCGATACCCCTGCATGAAATCCTAATCAGCAAACAAAGTCCCACCTGTGTGTAATGTACGACTCTTTGGTCAGAGAGATCAATAAAGAACAAAAAGCCTCAGTTTTAGGTTATAATTGATATCCCAAGTTTTGAACATCTGAAAATACCATCGAATGAAGAGCTGGCAGCATCGTGCTGAGGGGAGAGTAAAAGGCTAAAAACTGGGAAAAAGAATTGGACAAAATTTTTACAGGTTGCAAAGAAAGTGAGAATTCAAGAGCGACTTGTATTCAGGTCTTACAGTGGTCTAGTCAAAGTTATTCTGTAATCTAATTCAAACTTTTCGAGGTATTAAAATAAATTTAATTGAGTTAAATTAATTTTGAAAATGTTCCCGCCCCCCCACCCCTAATGTTTCGGGGGTTACCTCCACTTTCCAACCATGCACCACTTTCATATCACACAAAGTCAAAAGAAACCGTCCTGATAACGACAGTGAAAGTTTGTGGCTGCAAACAGAGCAACATGTGAGAAACGTAAATAACACTTCGAGCTAACTGTCCCGTAGCCCATATCTTGCTTCTCTTTCCTCTTTCCACCCCTCCAACGTTAGACGGAAACACAAGTTGTGCTTTGGTTCCTGCTGAGGGGCGCGGGAGAGGTGGAGGGGTGGCTGGGGAAGGAGGGCGGAGGGGCGGCGGGTGCAGTCACTGGGCGTGGAGGTTAGCGGGTGAAGGAGAACAAGGTTACAGCACTCTGCAGGGTTTTGTTGTCATTAAGAATCTTTCTTTTGAATTCATTTACCTGGTAGAGAATTAGGTATATAATTTGTCCTGCATTCCCCCCGTTGCTATGGCCTGTACCATGGTTTGGTTCACTCGGCTGTGTGAGAGAAGCAGTTCAGGCTGGTTGAGACAGTGTAGAGAGACTGGAAAGCGCACAGCCTAGACTTAAAAAGCTCATTTGGGCCAAAAAATGTAAAAAAAAAAAAAAAATTGAATTCACACAAACACAAATACAAACTCTTCAGACCGCCCCAGCCGCGCTACGGCGCGAGTTGAGACGGCACAAGTTGCTCACCGCTTGGCGTGCGAAAACCTCCTCCTACCTGTAGGCGGCGCCGTTGATCTCTGGGTGGATCTGGGGCTGCTGCTGCTGCTCCATCATCCCCCACGGCGCCGTGGACACGAAGAACTCTTTGTTGACGCAGTTCCGCAGGCTGTCGGGAATGCGACCTGCACGTGGGAGGGATCGAGTTTCGCTGAGTCAGGAGACGGAAGCTCGCAGCGGACTGGGAAAGGATCGAGAACGGGATCCGTACCGGTGATCGCTCTGCGGATTTCCGTGGCAGCGGCCTCCCTCATCTCCAGCGACGCCTGCTCACTGTACCAGGCGGTGTGGGGCGTGCAGATCAAGTTGGGGGCGTCTTTGAGAGGGCCCTGGGAAAAGCTGTTCGGCAACGAATTAAAAAGTAGGTGGAAACGCATAAGAGGAAATAAGCAGCCGATACTAGGAGATGAGGCGCACCTGAAAGGCTCCGACTCATGGACGTCCATCGCAGCGCCGCGTATCCTGCCTTCTTTGAGGGCCTGAGCCAGAGCTTTCTCATCCACTAGGCCTCCCCGTGCCGTGTTGACCAGGAAAGCCCCCTGGCGCATCTGAAAACACACACACACACACACACACACACACACAAACACAAAACGGGAGAGTTTTAGCTCAACCCGATAGTAGACACAAGTAATTTTTTTCCTATGAGGTTTTTTTTTTTGAAAGCACTATTAGATTGATTTATTGGGGTCTAAGTTATTATTAGTTATTAGAAATGATTTGGTCTGTGGCGATAAACAAGGTGCCATTAAGGGAAATATTAGGTTTTCCTGAACCTGAAACGCTGCTGTGATGTTTATACCCACTAGGTGGCAGCAGTAGGCAGCAGGAGACTAAAAGGACTCAGAATAAGATCTGCACTCAGCACAGATGAAAACACTGTGTGTGCAACAGCGGCATTGCATTTCACGGTTACAAAAAGTAACACAACTAATTGTATTGTAGGGTTAAGCTGCATTGCTTATAAACCCTTCATCATTTGCTGAACAGAGACCATTCGCTGGTTTTTAACTACCTTGCTTGATGGCGGCTCAGTATAAATATGAGAACATAAAGCATAACTACATGTTCTGGAAGCTGCTAACAGGGTCATATCTGGGAATAAATGTTAGGTAATTGCAAAAAATATAATTTCTAAACACTTAGAAAAATCTCTGCTGTTAGATTTACACTCTTACAACTTGAGAGCAACTTGTTATGCATGAAGAGCTTGCAAAAGAACACACTCCAATCTTACACCCACACTTTGTTGGAGGCACCTGGATCACACTGACCTCAAAGTTATAAATGGACAGAAGCGACATATTCTATCCACCCCCACACGTCTCAGCAACGTCTCTTTCCGTGTGACTTACTTCTGATATTCAACTGAAGAAGAAGAAAAGGTGACGGCTGAACAACACGGAAAGATTCCCGTAACAGATTCTCCAGGAAATCGCCAGCTGTGTTTTTTTTTTTGTTTTTTTTTCTTGTTTTATTCATCACCCGGGTCCGTCTCGAGTCGCACCTGTTTGATGGTGAAGTCGTTGATGAGGTGGTGGTTGTGTTCATTCAGGTTGCAGTGCAGGGACACGCAGTCGCTCTGGTACAGCAGATCCTGCAGCGTGTAGACCCGCTGGACTCCGAGCGAGCGCTCCAAGCCGTCCTGCAGGTAAGGGTCGTAGAAGATGACGTTGAAGCCAAACGCCTTGGCTCGCATGGCTACCGCCTGGCCTGTACGCCCTGACGGAGGCGAGGAGGAGAGAAAACCAAAAGTGGTGAAATGTCGTGTGCGTGTGGATCAAAACACGCCTCCCTTCCACGAATGAGATGCTCTCTCGTCTTTCCTATATTGGGGAGGACTAAGAGCAACGTGTCTGTGTCATGTCATATCTATAATCCAGGGAAACAGAAAGTGTGAGAAAAGAAACTACAAATAGACACTCGTAGGATTTGTTTGAGTTGCTGGTAAATATATGTGACTTTTTGCACATATTTTGCAAAAATACAGGCAAAAAGTCAAAAATATGACCTCATTTTTCTTTTTCTAAAAATACCACAGGCGAAACACATTTCTAAACTTTAATCAATTGTAAAACTTCATTGACTAATTTGATGAATATGAAAAAACATATTACAGTAGAAAAAAGCTTATCGGGAGTTCAGATTGTGCTAAAAATTACAAATTCTTAATACGTCCATATTGATATCTGCAAATTTATTTGACTTTTTATAGTAAATTATTTTATAGGTCTTGAGTTTTTTGTTTTCGTTTACTTGGATAAAATACGCGTTCCATAAATTGACGCAGAAATTGCACAACTTGCTGCATTAAAAATGTATCAGCCTATAAACAACGAGGTTCTCGGCATAAAACAGTCAAAGGTGGATGACTCTATGATTCAGGAAAACATATTTCTCCTTTAAAACATCCCATATCTCCTTTTTCATACCTTAGAGAGACTCTTCAGAGCCTGTCTCCAGAAACTACAAGTTTCTAAATAAGGTTCTTACCAAATCCGATGAGGCCGAGTGTCTCGCCCCGGATCCTGGCTGCCCCCGACGCCACCTCCCGGATCTGCTCCACACTCTGGACCCGTGTGCCCTCCCGGAGAGCCTGGTACAGCCAGGTGTTTCGCCGGTACAGGTTAAGGACGTGACAAAGCGTTGAGTCTGCCGTTTCTTCTACAGCTGCTGAAGGAATGTTACACACTGCGATGCCTGGAGAAGGACAGACAGAGGAATGCACATAGTAATGATAAGACTTAAAATACAAATGCACAAATGACTACTGTCATGACATTACTTACTGGAATAAATATCATCTATAGTTCTGTTAAAAAGTGTTTGCCCTCTTGAAGACTTCAGCTGTTTTTGTTGTTGTTTTTGTCATGCTCTATGTCAGATCATCAAATGAGTTTGCATATTTAATGTCAAAAATCACCAGAGTAAATAGAAAATGAAGATCTTATTTGTTAGCGGCAAAAAACTGCGTCTGCTAAGTACACTTTTTAAATCTGTCATAAAATTAGCGAGCCATTTAAGAAAAATAGCATAATGCTAACAGCTAGACGTAGTTGTAGAAGTGTTACAGTATTTGGGCTGCTTTGCTGCTTCTGAAACGCTGGTTTTGGAAATGGTCTAGTCAAAGTCCAGGTTAAAATTTCAATTAAAATGTTGTGGTATGATCTTAGCCAGGCCTTCAATGTTTGAAAATTGTCCAATGTCGCTAAAATAAAGCTTTTTTTGCTAACGAGAGTGTGCCAAAATGTGTCCAGACTCTGCAGAGCAACGCAAAAAATCTGCATACCAGATATTACAAAAAGTGCCAAAACCACAACCTAGTAAATGAAACAATCATTCAAAAACATTTAATACGTTACACTACAGTTTATATTTAAAGTTAAAATGTGTTTCATGTTCAGTAATTAAACATCCAAATATGGGGAAGAAAAGTGTAACAGCTGCATTGCAAAAAAAACCCCAAAATAGTACAAACTAAGTAACTACCTGAACGACGATCACAGTAAGAAATCAGTGAGATGAAGTGTAGCAGTAATGCTAATCAGGATCTCACACTAAATCCGCCTCTCATACCAAACAGGGACCAAACGAGAATAAAGAGGATTTCCAGCTGCTCTAAAGTATTTCCATCACCTCTCATGTTTACAGACAGTAAATAAATTCCACAACACATGTTGTTCATGTTAAGCTAACATAACCAGTAGAGTTTGGTTTTGACCCTGAGGAAGAGGCGAACTCTCTTTATCGACTTTGAATCATTTGTGCCGTCGTTCCCCTCCTCGCGCACGGATAGGCCGTGCTTGCTTGCTCGTTCCTCGCTTTCATTACTTTCGGCATATAACTACTGCGTCGTGCTGAACGGCCTCGATCTGCGCGCCGCTAACCGGCCTCTTTGTGCTCCACGGCCTCACCGAGCTCCCCGGCGGCCTTGATGTCGATGTTGTCGTAGCCGCTGCCGATGCGTATGATGATGCGCAGCGCCTTGAACTTCTCCAGGTCCTCTCTGGTCAGGGTGATGGTGTGGTACATCATGGCCCCCACGGCCTCGTTCAGCACCTGCGGGAATCACCGTCGTCTTTATCATCCATTTAAATCACGCCCCCTGCTATCCTGATATTCAGCAGAGAGCGACTTGTTGCAGCCGCCGTGAATAAAAGTGCTTTCACCACCTTCCTTGATTTATTTATTTATTTTTTTCCTTCTGGACCCGAGTTTATGTTCGTCATCTTTCATCTAAATGCAAATGGACTGTTTATGTGTGCTCTAAAACACAAGCAGTTGTCTGTGTGTTTACTGTATAATGAGCGCATGCAAAAGCTGCTTTTTGTCACAATCCATTAACTCAGACTGTATGCAAACAAGGTCAGAATGGGTGCAGGCCGGACAATAAAGTAGACAGCTGAGAAGCCCAGCGAGCATTAAGAAGTTGCCGCGGCGAAGCCAAGGCCGTTAAACAACTGGTTTAAATTCACGGCCCACGAACAGAATCGACCTACCTGAGCCAGATTAGCATAGTGATGAATTTCCCGCCCAACACATTTTTTTATTGGAGTTAGAAATAACAGGAGCTGGATGCTAAAGCTCAAGGTTGAAACTCGCTTTGCGCATTAATGCCATTATGAGTGCAGCAGGAGCGCCGTAGGCTTGGATGGAAGGACGACGGCGAGTCGTTGTGAACTGATAAGCAGTGGGAAAACTGACGAGATAGATTTTAGATTTCACTAATGAGTGGAAGAAAAGAAAATAAAATAAATCCTGCAATTCTGCAATTAGACTTGGTGAACAAAACACAAAACCTTAAATTTACTGAAGGCCCACGTGAGAACCACAAAGAAGGTTTCAGTATGAACAAATATTTATTTCTGACGTTTTGGGAGAGACACAACAGTTGAATCTTCATGCTTTCAGTCTGAATTAGAAACTAAGTAAAGGTGAGGAAGCAAATAATTAGTTAGCATCCACAGCTACTTTGTTAGCCTTAAACTGAGCCAGACTTTTTCCCATAATGCTTTGTTGACTGCTTCAAGCGGCAGAATCATTAAAGATGTCAACGTTATCTCTTGAACGCAGAAACGAATTGACTTTTGATATTCGGCACCTGGCTTGAATTAAATTAGGTTGATGTTTTATATGAATCCTGTTTACACGACAGACAATCTGGCTAAAAATGGCAGATGCTATCACCTTTCACAAAGGCACAGAGGTAGAGATACAGAAATCATAAATGTAAACAAAGAATTGCCATTAGTTATGTTCGAGATAATATATTGGCATGACAACACAGGCCCTTTGCTTCACTTGGAGCTGCACACAGACCAATATTGCTTTCATGCTAGCTACGCTAATTATGTTAACTGCTAATGGAAGATGATGCAAAAATATCACATATTGAACTCTATTTTGTCTCTATTTTAAAAGAGTAAAACCTTTATTTACCACAACAGCAGAGGAACATCACATCTACTGAGAAGTACGAAGATCACAGCAGGAAGGCTAGAAAAATTATTTTGAAATCTGTTCTTATACTAATTATTATTATAAACATGGAGTTCTTGCATGCTGCACCGTTCTTACAGATAAATAAAACCAAAAATACGATTTTCATTGTTGCATTTTATTCATCGAGTTTTCCAAATGTTTTTTTTTTGTGTTTGTTTGTTTTTAAATGATGCAAGCTACGTTTCAATACAAAAAGCCACTTGGCTTATTTCAATTTTCTTCTGTTAGCTTAGGAAGACTCAAACATGCTGAACTGATGACTGAGTTCACAACCAGCTGCTTCAATGACTCGATTATGTCATGACTGGAGTTTGCAGTTGCTCATTTCACGCTCATCAATGAAGCAAGTCGACACTTTTGACATTAGCAAAAGGTGAGAGCCGTTAAACTAAAAGCAGCGTCTTAAATCAACAGTGGAGTGGTAAGCTAAGCCTCGACGGGGCAAAATTGAGCTCAAATAGCTGTAAAACATCATCAATTCATAATATATTCTTTGGCAGACTTTTACTTACTCTCAAACTCTCCAGAAACCTTTTCCAGTTCACCCACAAGCATGTTTTGAGTGTTGTAATTAGCACTAAAACAACATTAAGCAGCTGTTGTCAAATCAAAACCAGAGCCACTTGAAAAGGGCGCCACTTTGATTTCTTTCTGAAATTCTAAGGGCTGCCTTTGCCTTTTCAAGGACAAGACTCCTTCACCCATCGACGGTGAGTGCTCTCTCATAGATTTCTCTTTTTAACTCAGCTAGCATCACAAAACGCTCACCAGACACCGCAGGCTTACAAGCTCAATTCTGAGAATATCAATTCATCTTTCTTCACCATGCAAGCGAAGAGGCTGCTAGGAAAAATACAAACACCTCACAAGAGCAAGTGGGAAGAAAACAACAACAAAAAACATGCATATTATTGCTATTTATTTTTACATAATTGGACCGTAATGAATTGAATATTTTTGTAATCTGAACCAAGTAAATTGGGATTAATTGGAAAATAATGAAACTGTATTCATTTGAAATGAATCAAATTTAATTTTTTTTTATAAATTCAATCAAATTGAACTGATTTGAGCCAAGTAGCATTTGTTGTATAATTTAATTGAATGTGATATAAAATAATATAACTAAGCTAATAAAACAAACAATTCAACAAATGAAAATACTGCATAAAACTTTATTTTAGTCACTCAATTCACTAAGTCAAACTCGTCATATAGATTAGTTTTAACACCTCATCAAGCCTTTATTTCTTTTAATTTTGTCAAAGTCAACGAAAGCACAACATTTAAGATTAGAAAATGGCACTGAACCAAAAATATATATATTTTTTTTAAATACACAAATGTGGGCTTAATATGTTCAATACCTGCATATTTGTTATTTTCCTAAAGTACTTCTAATCTGATAAACGAGCCTCATCTGAACATATATTCTAATGTATTGGACTGTAAAATAATTTTAAAAAAAATTATAATGAAACAGAAATATATGAGAACAAACTAAACCGTAAATGAATTCGATTGTTACTCTTCTGTTTTATTTTGTTTGTTTTAATCAATCAGTGTCCATATGTCTGATTCCTTCATCGCTACGTCTGAAAACTTCAAGGAAGTCTTGTTACAAAAACACAATAAAACAAACAGTTTTCCCAACAGAGTCATGTGTAATTCGGAGTGCGCGCGTGTCCATGCGTGTGTGTTTCCGCGTCTGTGCGTGCGTATGTGTGTGTGCGCGTGTGTGTGTGTGCATATTTGCAGCCCCTCTGTATCCTCTGCTGTGTCGTTATCATTGTGGGACTGCAGCCAACACTGATGCTTCCAGATGGGCCCTCTGTTTGTGTAACATAATCACACTGAGAGCATTTCGCTGCACACAGATTACTAATACCAACAAAAAAGATTTACTTTGGATCTCGTCAACTCAAACTGTAAAAATTTAAACACACGAAGGTCCAAGAAAACCCACTTCCACGTAGGCAGGACGAGGGAGACGGTTTTACCGTCCCTTTTCTCCTCCAATCCCTTTAAAGAGCTCTTTTTGAGTTTGGAATTGGAAAACTTGCCGCTCGTCGGCTCCGGCGTGCAGACAGTAAAATAAGACAAACGTTTCACCCACTCTGGCTGAGAACAATTACACTGCATTTCTATTACCAGCCTCCTCCTCCTCCTCCTCCTCCTCCCACTCCTCCTTATTTAACAAAGCTGCACTTCAGCCCCCAGTGGGATTAGCGTCAGTGATGAAACCATTATGGCTGTACTGGGAGATTGGAATGAGCCAGTGGGCTGAAATATCATTAAAACATTACAGAGGGGGAGGCTTGGAAGGAGGACAAAGATTTTTCTTCTTCGACGAGCAGAAAGCAAAACAATATTAGAAACAGAAGTTCATACAGTGTTACACCGGTTTGTGCGGCTTTTTTTTTTTTCTTTTCATTGTTGAAACGTTTAGCGCTTCTTTTTCTTAAACCAGGCTAATGTGAAAAATCTCCCTCTTGATCACTGGAAGAAGTTAAAAGGGTAAACACAGCATCTAAAGAGGAATCGGTGATTATATTGACTTAAGAACCAAACGATACCTTTTCGTGTATCTCCTGCGTGGACTGGGCGTCACAGAAAGCCACGGTGGCCAGGTCTTTGAGGATGGGCATCTCCACGGTGCAGTCGCGCCCATCCAGCAGCGCCACCAGGGGGCGCGGGTGCATAGGCCCATTCATAATCTGGGGCCGGATACCTGCGGAGGGGCAGAGAAAACAGGCGGTCAATTATTTACACCTGGCACAAGTCATGTCAGGAGGCGCGTCCAGGAAGTGTTGACCACGGATCCTGCTTTTGGCTTCGGATCGATTCCCACAAAACTTGACCTCCTCTCTTCTTCTCTCAAGCCGCCGTCATCATCGACTCGTCTACCTGTCGGCGCAGGTCGATATCTCAGACGCGCATATTCACATCCACGATGCGACCACCCCATGACTTGCTGTTTTCTCCAAACTGTTACCAGGCAACAGGTCCTTTCACCTCATGAGGTCATCACCTCCATTATCCTATCACTTCACAGGAGCCGAGGCAGGTCTTTACTGTGTATTTTTAGATGGTGGGTGTACAGTGTAGATTATTTGCAGTCATTCTGATGCTGGAATAAAAAAAAAATAAAAAAAAAAGAGCAGTTTGGACGCTTCTCCATAAAACGGGGTCACGGTCGTTAATAAAACCCCTGCTACGTTCAATCAATAAAAATCTCAAGTCGGTTTAACAGGAGGTAAAATATAATCAGACTGTGTGCGCCCAAAAGCTGATGAAAGAGGGAAAAAGAGGGAGAAAAAGAAGAAGAAGAAGAAAAAAAGAGAGATGGGAGGTGGGGGGTCCAAACACATTCACTCTCTGGCTCCCTGCTGCCTGTTGTCATGGTGATTAGAGGATTTGGGCAGGATTATGAAATATTTTATTTAGTGGCATCTGCGCTGCTGGAGAGGACATCCAAGCCTGCTCGCATCGTGACTGCGCCTCTAACTCCTCCGGTTTAGGAGAGGAGAGAAAAGCTTTTCTGACCTCTACGGCCGAAATGTCCAAGCATATGCACAGGAAGTAGTACATGTGCCTGCATGGACAAATTAACAAACCATGCTAAACTTAGGAGAACAAAGGCGGGTGCATGCATGCTGGCGAGGATTTTCTGCAGAGCTTTGCTTCTTGTGTAAATAGGATAAATAGAACTTCATCAGTTTAATTGTTGGTTACTTTTCTGACACTTGAAAAGTAACCATTTTTGTTGTTTTATTTTTAGAAATTGATCCTTTTATTTGGCATTCACTTGCTTGTAAATGCAAAGTAAAACTTATTTAGCAAAATGTATTAACATACAGCTATGGAAATAATTAAGAGACCACTTAAAATTATCAATTTCTATGATTTTACTTTGTATATGTGTATGTTTGAGTAAAATTAACATTCTTCTTTTATTCTACGAACTACTGACAACATGTCTCTGAAATGCAAAAATTTAGTGTTTATGTGCAGAAAATGAGAAATGGTCCAAATAATGAAAAGGATGCAGTGCTTCCATACCTCAAATGATGTAAAGAAAACAAGTTTGTATTAATTTAGAAACAACAATTCTGATGTTTTAACTCAGTAAGAGTTCAGAAATCAATATCTGGTGGAATAACCATCATGTTTCCTTGGGTTCTGTGCAGTGGTCTCTTAATTTTCTCCAGAGCTGCATGTTCATTTGCATCAACACTCATTTAAATATTTCTGTGTTACAGTGTCAAACATTTAAAGCCTCTCATTTTATCACCATTGCGTACAAAATATACTTTGTGAAACAATACTTAACACCTTAAATCAAAGAACAATGCCGGGGGAGGGTGAAAAAATAAATGCTAAATCTCATATGTTTGGAGACCTGTGCGTTGCACTGCTGCATTAAAAAAAACAAACATGTACTGCATTTTGGAGAATCGATAAATCCCAGCCGCTTACCCCAGTAAATAAATAAATGAAACCCTCTTGCATGCAAAATGAGGAGCAGTGGCGTTCCCCTGTTCAGGAGTAAAACTGGAATCAGAGGATCAATTTATATAAAAAACCAGGGCTTAGCAGGTTGACATTAATATCATCGCTCTGACAAATGACGGGAATTACTATTAGCTTCATTCATTTGATTAATGCCTCTGCCTCCGCTTCTTGTTCTTCTACAACAGTCAAGGACGAACTGATAAAAATAAGCAGGACTGACGGGGGGAAGTGAGGAGTTCACCACTCCGAAACCGATGAAAGATCGCTAAAGGAGTGCACTGACGATGCATTTACACGAATTTATCTCTGCGACAACAAATGAACCATCAGGCTTTGCCGGGACAGATTGTAAAACATCACTGGTGACGCCGGACGCCTCCTGTTAATTTTTACATGTCGGTTTTCCCGCCGCGAGAATTACGTCCGGCAGCTGCGTGGCATGCGGCGTCTGTGTCAGAAAGGACGCAGACCGGAAGAGTGAAGTGGGCAGTCAGCAATCAAGCAGAGTTTAATAAAACAAACTGTAAAGCCGCACCAAGGCAAAGCATCCCCCTTTTGCCCCGTTGTGTTTAATTCTTTCATAATCTGCCTCTTGTGGGTTTCCAACTTCAGAAGAGGTGCAACAGAGCTGTTTGATTTTGGAAAATCTTCTTGTAAAGTCCCAAACAAGCGCGTTCAGTCTGGCAGAGGGTGAACGGAAAACAATCACCTTTACCAGCTTTGTCCTTCTGATTCACTGTCGAGGCTTTATGAGAGACACGAGAGATTCACAAAGTACTTTGCGGCTCCACAGGAGTGAGGCAACAATATTCGGAAATGTGCAAAAACAGTCCTCGGTTTTCAGATTCGTCGGCGATTATATTGACCAAGAACCAAGACTTGTCATCTTAAAGGCTGATAAGTCTTTAATTGTTTCTAAAAACTTGGTGACACACATACCTTTTCTCTGGAAGACTCAACAGGCTTTTAAAACACACACACACACACACACACATATTATATATATATATATATATATATATATATATATATATATATATATATATATATATATAGTGAGAGAGAGAGAGAGAGAGAGAGAGAGAGATTGAATTGTAATGACCAACATTAGAATTGCTCAATGGACTCTGAAGGATGAGACGATGTCTCCGCTCTGTGTAAAACTGCAGCTGCTCCAACTGCTGCCTCTGTTTGTGTCGCATCAAACTCATTCCACATTTCCCCTTACAGTTCGCAGTGGTTATGGTATATTACTAGTTCCCATGGCTGATCGAGCCGTAGCATTCCTGGGTTGTCTTGAATCACTCAGTCAGTGTTGTGCTCTTTCAGACACACGCGTAGCTCACATAGCTAAAGAATGACCTGAAATGGGCTGTTGTGGGAGAGTGAACAATATCTACTGTGATGAAGTACAGCAGTGTCTTCCTCGATTTAGTGGAAAGCTGGAATGTTGTGGTTTTTACGCAGCGCTTCTTCCATTCATAAAGATCCAGATGGAGTTGTGCATTTAAAAATGCCTTGATGCTGTCAAACCAGAAGTTTTTACACTTCATTCTTTTCTAATTCTTGCAACTATGTCGGAGAAAACGTTCCAGTCGGCGAAGTAAAAACAAACTTTCAGGACTGAAAACATGCTGGCATAGCCAGTGACAGTTTTTTTTTTTACCTCGTCGGGATGTTTCATTGCACCACAGAAATTCTGTGGCTTAAGATTTTAAATGTCAGAGCTCTAAAAAATAAATAAATAAATAAAATTAATTAATTAATTAATGTGTGACGTTTACTCTCTATGACAGTGCAGAGTTAAATGGCTTTTCTCCAAAGCTCTAAATCAGTAAATTTGCTCTTTGGAAATCCTTAACCAGTCTGAAAATATGTTCAGTTCCTCAGGGCCAGCTAACAGAGACAGAAGAGATTATGTTACAAACACAGAGAGATTGAACAACTCTGAACATTAAACTGCAAGGCATCTGTAGCATATCAAAAGATTTTTTCTTTTTACCAAAGTTAAGACATTTAAAACTACATTTGGTGCAAAGCAGCTGGTTTGGTTGTGGTAAGTTTGAACGTAGCGTTATTTTGATCTGTGTGGTTGGAGGAACCGCAGCATGAAAGCGGTTGCTGCTCCACAGCAGGAGTTAAAATTTAAAGTAACCATGGAAACAACTAATCAGCAATTATTTTCAATTGATTATGGGGGAAGGTTTAAATAACTTTATATTAAAATAAAAAAAACTGACTTTTTAAATAAAATTAAAAATAAATAATTAAAAATTTTTACCCTCAGACAAAAGTATCTTGGGTGAAATTAAAATAATTTCAAATAAAATTTAGCAATTGCATGAATAATTGTAGGACTGGCTGTGCATGTACATACAGCATATGATTTCAACCCGCAATTAAATATGCATGTGAATTAGTTGAAGGCCAGAGACAAAATGTTGCTCTATTTCAAAGCACCTATGCAGTAAATCGGTCTTTATGATACACAAATAACAAGTCTGTACTCAGCTGAATATCTGCTAATACAGCGTTTTTATAATAACCTAAAAGGTTTTCAAGTTATTTTTCCATAAGCTAATGTGTTTGAGCAGTGCAGCTAATCACAAAAATTGAATAAACAGACTCAGATGCATTATCAGTTTAAACAGTTAAATCTGGTCGAAGCGTTTGCCAAAAGCAGTGGAAATGAAAAATGTTGTCCCTTCACCTGCTCCTCCTCTGAATGTCACAGACACACACCTGGAGTCTGGGAAACGACAGGAGGAAAGTTCGCTCCAAATAGGCTGGCTTTGCCTTTAAAAAAAACCAAAAAAACAATTCTTTGTAATTTGTAACAAATAGGCTACATAGGCATATTTGCACGTGTGCATCCACTGGGCTTTGTGTGGGTCAAATGCGCCATTTTTCTGTGCGATGCACATCATGCACATGTGGCCTGCATTGGTGTGAGTCAGGCACATCGTGCTGCTTTTGAACAGTAGTCATCACGCAGAAATGGTAATATTTCTGGTTGGACTCTTAAGTTTGTGTATGTGCCTGTTTGATGTGTGTGTGTGTGTGTGTGTGTGTGTGTGTGCGTGCGCGCACTAGTAAAGCAGGTGTAAGGAGCAGACTGCAGCCTCGCCAAACACACCTGTAGCGCCCCGTGTCTCATCATCACACCCCTGCAGAGTTCATTATCAGACTGGAAATACCTCCATCTCCCGACGACAG